AGCTAACGCGTGCGATGGCGAGTCTGTTAAAGTCTAGATCGGGAAGTCCTCTTGATCTTTGATACGAGATATCTGTGTGGGTGCCTCTGTGACCACATCTTTGATCTTTGGTGTGTGTGTGTGTGTGTGTGAGTAAGTGAGAAAGGGAGCGACATGGTGCCAGAGCCTCCTGCCTCCTACAGATTGAGGTGAGAGCAGGCAGGTGGGGCTCTGTCGTGTCTGTGTGCCACAGTAACTGGATGTGATGGGTGGCCTCTGGGGATCTCTGCCTTAGAAGTGCTAAACGAGCGAAGCAGAGCAATCACACTGTTCCCGCGCGTGTTTGCGCGTCTGCGTGTGCGCGTTAGCGTGTGTGCCGCGAGCCCACACACTCCTATATATGATAGTCGGTTTGCTTTCCTGTTGCCACTGGCTCCGTGTCTGTGTAGGTGTGCGTGTCTGTCATAAAGGACACTGCATTTATCTTTAGACTAAATATAAGCGCCACGAGATGGATGATAAGATGAAACAGCCTTTAATGTGTTAAATGTTGCCAGGAAACGGGGCTTTTTAAACGACGACGACACAAACACGACACAGTCGGGTCAGAGGAGTGATGCTGAGGGCTCCAGACAGTCCACATGCGGCGGGGCTCCAGTAGCACGACTCCAGTTACAAAGGTGGCGACAAGACACTGGTTCCAGTCTACATGATGTGACCCCACCCTGCTCTAGCCACATCCCCCCGTGTCTCAATGTGATTGTTAGCCTGAAGCATCCGAAAGGGCAAGCTACTCCCCTCCCCTTCATTAGCCAAATGGAATTGACTTAATTCAATTACGGCTCCTCCCGTGAGGAGCCCACGTTTGTGCACGTTTGTGCACATTTCTGCCTTTTGCACATCAGCTGTAAATCTGTGTGAGTCCCCGCACGTGTTTGCATACATCCCACCTGCAACCTGCACGCGTACGAGAACGAAACAAACGAGCGCACGTCACAGGTCGTGTTCTTGCCGCGGGCAAGCCGAGGCCCCGGCGGTGGCACCGTCGAGGCCTTCGGTCCCACCGCTCCACACCCGCGGCCTCGTGCGCCGCCCGAGCCGAGGCGAATGCCAAGGAGTCTCCGAGCCACTACATCAACCCAACCTCCCCCCACCCCAGGGGAACACCAGCCAATGAATTACAGATTAGATCATTGTTACAGGATCATAACAGTGATCTAATTGCCAATTTCTCTTTTTAATTGAATTTGGTGGAGTGAAGAGGACGGAGATGGGATTCATGGGACTCTGTGTGGAGCCGATTGGAGTCGGTCTGCTGTTGACCGGGCACGACGGTTAATGAGGAGAAGAAGAAAAAAAATTCCGGCGCTTGACATTAAGCTGCAGAGCTGGGCGTCCACTGCAGAAACGTCAGGCTTAATATCCTTACCAGTGCCTCTTGTTCAGACAGAACGGCATTTTTGAAATCTTCCAGGGTGTTGGCTCGCTAAAATCCCCCAAATTACATCGACAGCATCATGTGTCGCAGTTAAATCACTGTAACTAGTTTGCAGAATTTATTGTTTTCTGTTTTTCTGCTTTTTTTAACAATGTTTTTTTCTTTTCATTTTCCAAATCTGCTCCCAGTACAAACGACTTCGGTCTGAACCTCACGGATGCAGCCACGTTGAGCTAATTGCAGTTTGTCCGCGTCCGTCTCCGTGCCCCGAGCTTCCCACATCTACTGCCGCTTTCCCACCCCACCACCTCCAAAACAGTCGGACCATAAATGAGCTCCATAGTGCTGTCTGATTACAGCTTGGTTAAATTAGATGAGATAAGTTAGCCCACATCTCCTCCACAGCCATGCTCGAGAGCTGACAAGCCCAATACATCTGTCGCGGCTATGGTAATTGAGATGGGGAGGGAGGGCGACGGTGGTTGGATATGGAGGAGTGATTTGTGTGTGTGTACATGAATACGTGTAGAACTGTGTGAATGGGAGGGGGGGGGGGCCTCCCTCTGTCTCTTGTTCCTCAGTACCTGTCATTGATGAGGAGCCAAGGAGAAGCTTCAGCTTGAAGCTGTCATCGGCCCTCTGAATTTGTCTGCCTCACTCTATCAACCCTCCCTCCTCCTTCCTCTCTCCCTCCCTCTCTCTGATGTGGATGCAGAGTGTGTGAGTCGTGAGCCAGCCGGCGAGCTTGTGTGTTGTGTGCCGCAGGAACCGTACAACCGCCTCTCGAGGTGTTTAAATCTGAGACGTCGGCAGAGCGACTGGGGCGCAGGCAGGCTCGCCGCCCTGACACCACTGAGACCCATGCACCCTCTCCCGGACTGACAGGCCAATCGCAAGCCGCCTCTCGCCCTCCCTTCATCCAAAGCGTGCTCTCTCTCTTCCTCTGACTCGCTCACTCGCGCTCCCTCCTCCTCGTCTTCTTCCTCTCTCTCTCTCTCATTCCTCTGTGCTCAATCCGTGCATCCCCTCCTCCTCCTCCTCCTCCACCACCACCTCACACCTTTTGGTCAGAAGAGGAAGAGGAAGCCCAGCCCAGGGAGAGATGCTGAAAGGATGAAACTCTGACACGCCGACAGACCACAGGGAAACAAGAGCACAACTGTGAGTACAGCAGTCCTTTCACTTCTCACTCAGGCTTAACGCTGTCACACACACTTTGTCTCTCACGCACAAATGCACACACACACACACACACGTGTTTGGCACATTTACTTCGTACCCACACTGAGACTTTACTCCACACACTGATCCAACAGCATACTCGCCATCCATGCACAGCTCAAGTGTCTTTGTCTTTTTCAGGCAGGCAGGCGAAAAAAGAAAAAGTGCAGATTGTGTTTTCCTTTTTTTTCCCGTCGTAAGGCGTGCAGCGTGTTTCTTGATGTCGGCTGTTTAGATTAGGCTTTGTCCTGTCTTTGCACAGCTCAAACAAAAACAATCCAGCAAAAGTGTCATTCATACTTTGAGATTTTGCATACTTTTCCCAAAAAGTCAACCCTGCATTTTTATGTCTTTTTGTTCAGCTCAGGAAAAGCAAAACTAAAAGGACCCCAGTAATGAGCAAGGTCAGCGAAATCATGTTTAGCACACAGATTCTTTTGTCTGTGCACTTCTGCTGTTTTTATTGGCAATAAAAGCGTGCACGAGGGAAGTATCCCTGTTCCCGTCTCCCATCTTAAATATATAAGCTGCTATAAGCCAATAGATGCCCGAGGGTTGAAAAAAGGGGCGTACTTTCTTCTCAGCGGCGTAAGAATCCCGAGCAGTCCCCGCTGCTTATTGTTTAGCGCTCAGCCAGGGGAGGTCTGCGTGCCGGGCTGATCTGCGCCGTTTGCGCCGCACTATTTTTTTGATTATGTTCCTGGTTCATCTCTGGCCGAGCCGATTTCCTATTTCCTTCTCCCATTTCGAGAGCGGGGAGTATAATATGATAGCAGCTCACATGTGGGGAAGTGCAGACAGTGGATCTGTGCAGAGGACACAGATTGCATTTCCCCTGGAGAATGCTCTCGCTGTATTAAAGGCACTAGAGGGCTGCTCGGCACTTGTCATCAGCTTCGCTAGTAATGCCGGCGAGAGGAGAAAGTAGACGTGGTGTTTACAGCCACTCTCTCATTTAAAGAGCTCCCATTGGCCCTAATGCCACAGCTGCATCACACTGGCCCATTGCAATCCGGGTTATATTACATTTGTGAAGCCCAGGATATTGTGCGGTGCCTCGCTTGCTTCGAATGTGGGAAATGAAAAGATCTATATGTTAAACATCCCACAATATATTAGATTTGTTGCTGGACTGTAAACTCCTGGAGTGAGAATGAAAGCATTTGCATTTTTATGATGTGGTTTAACGTGGATCACATGCACCACAGCACCCATTTATGCTTAAAATTGAATTTATATTACCCCACGTTTTAGTTGTTTGGACTTCACTCTGCTGCTGTTTTATAATTCTCGGGCTTTTCTGGCGTAGCTGCTATAGGTGCTGTTTTTTCTGCATTTTCCAAGTCGCTGAGTCCGAACGTGGGATTGATTCCGATTGTTAGAAGCGTGCAGCGAGACATCGGCAGCTCTCGAGACCCGACGAGCCTCCGGTCGCTGATGTGTCAGCAAAAGTGAACGATCAGCCTGAGACTGACGTCCGCCTCCGTCTGGCCTCGGCGAATTTACTGAACCCGTGTGGCTTAACGCACAAAGACACACAAATCAAGATAAACAAGACAGGGCCTTCTCCTCCTCCGGTTTTGCCTCAGATTAATTCCTGATTTCATGGCCTAAAAATAAAACCGACCACCTATAACCATCATCAAAGCTATGACATTTGCAGCAAAGAAAGACTACAAAAGCTACATCACAAAAAAGTAATTTAAACTCTGTGAATTAATGGAACTTTCATTTTGGATTTGCCAGTGGCTTTCATGGGAAATTTATGCAATTTAAATGCAGAACGCCTGTCTGCTTCTGAGTTGGTCACTGACCAATTTAAATGTATCTTTTCCTATATTGTATGTTTCATTGTGGAGGAATATATCGAAGGGAAGTTAATAGCCTTTTATGCTAGGAAACATATTTAATTACATATATCTTTCACTGCTAAGAATTTACCCCAGGGGTTCTGTTAATGTAAGTCTGTGATCTCCAGCAGTTAATAAGCCGCTCGTGAAGGCGAGATAAATTGCCGTCAACCCATATTCATCACTATCTGCTTGTGTATCTGCACTTATTGATTTGATAGTTGGTAACCAGTCCTGATCATCCATACAGATCCGTACAAAGCGAGGGCCGATAGGGTTTCCACTCTCCCTGAAGGCTCAATTACACAGCACGCACGAGGAAATGTGGGGGGAAGGAGATCAGCTTCTGACAAGGTCAAATTATATATGTCAGCTTGAAATCATTTCGTGTAGGTGTTCAGCCATGTCTGAATGTATAAAGAAAGAGACATTTGGTAAGTCAATAAATGTCATATGCCGGAGCTCATTAAATATTTTAATCACACGTTTTGCTGATTAAATTATATCGACTGAATCGAGGGTTTGAGCTTCTGTTATTTCATTTGTTTGCACGTTTGTGTGTTTTGGTTGTTTCAAATCTCTCCCAGACTTTGGGATGTTGGGAACTAGTGATTGCACGTCTTGAATAATGAGCAACAGAACGACTAATTTGCACACTTGTTACTATTTAAACAGTTCTGATTACAATTGCGAGCCCATCGTATGTTTTCCAGTCTTGACACGCATGCGGCGCCGCTCGTGAGAGTTGACGCTGTAATTGGTGCGTTGTGCGGCTGTTGGCTTTCGCTGGCATTCTTAGACAATGGAGTACAGTGCCTATTCAGAACCTCCTGAATACCACAATTCAGCGATGAAGGACATGTGTGGCAAATATTGAAGAGATTTCTTTTTCGTATCTCTTCATGAAAAGCCAAAAAAGCTGAATTGATTTGAAGAGTGAGCCTGGCAAGGATAGCTTGGTTTTAAAAACCTTTGTGAGAGAGATTGTAATGGCAGGGCAAAGTGCCGCTGAAGTCACAAGGTTTTTAAAGAAACACGAGCGTACGTGCAGTAAAACATTTAACAGTTTCTAAGCTATGAAAGCAGCTTGGGCATCAAAATGCATTTTCCCCTCCTGTATACAGTATCTGCCTCCAGCCGAGATCAATAAAGGCAAGTCGAATTTTGTTTGCACTGCTTAATAATTACATGTAGAACCTTAAATAGCCAACTTACAGCAACTGAGTGTCATAAAGGAAGTTCCAGGAATCCACGGACTATAGCCAAGTGGTTCCCGAAATACTTCATGTAAAAAAACAAAACACATAAATATAAAATGACGTCCTTGTGTGGAGGCATTACATTCTGGCTTTTCTTGACCTTGTACTAATGCTCAGTAAAGTGTTTAAACTTTGCTACACAATGGTGACAATATAGTGTTGGGCTGTAATTCTTCCTGTTCAATAGCCCAGAATAAGGAATTAAAAATGCATCCCAAACAACAGCTCAGGTCTCAGGAGGTTAAAGCAAGCATATTGTGTATGCTACTCCAATAGAAACAATGAGCTCGGTATCACTGCTCTTGCTCCTGCAGCAAACCTCTCTGCTGTTGCTTGGTTGTGCTTACTGTAGGCAGTGAAGAAGCTGGTGATGACAGAGAAATGCTTGAGCCAGTCCTCACAGAAGTTCAGACCGAGGCAGCTAAACTGGCGACATATTAGAAAACCTTCTTTGTAAGGGGTTCTTGGCGACAGGAGGACCTCTGAAAATGGGTTTCAAACCTCTGGGAGTTAGTCACATTAATAAATAATAGAAAAACCATGGAGTAACATCATTTATGTGTTTTACCTCTGGCCAATCGTGTTATTTATCCATCTAAATTGAGAGTTGCCCAGCTTTGGGGATATCCGGTTTTTAAGTAATGACATATGAACCCTACTTTCCGGTCCAAACTACTCTGTGTTTATTAAGGTTGTTGTGTTTTTAACATGGTTTGTATCTTGTTCTAATTAATCTGAACAAGCCCCTAAAAACAGTCAGTGATCACTGTCACCTCCCTCTGTTTTTATTACCACTGTTTATTTTAAAGCTCAGT